CCTGTTTTCAGCCATTTTGGCCTCTGGGAACTGGGATAGCCCGAGGATTCTTCGCTGTCTTTGACACGGCGTGGACGGTGAGGAGCTGGGGTATGGGGGTCCAACCCTTGAAGGTCCTTGCAGAGAGGTAGGTGAATCTGATCTAATTTAAAAGCGTAAAAAAATATATATACTAACACAACTGATTTTCATATTTTAACTTTTTTTAATTTTTTTAATCATGTTGACCTTTACAATAAATCTACTGCAGCTCTTCATGCTGCTTCCTCTTCCCTGGCTGACAGTTTATATTTTACAAAACAAGCAAAAGCTTTTGATTAATCTGCATATAAAGATAAAAAAAAAAAATATGTTGAGCTACAGTACATTAAAGTACAACGTAATTAAATACAGTTTGAAGATGCTTAACATAATATTTGTGTTATTTTTCAGATTGTGTGACATACATTGAACTGCTTTCCTTGATTTTTGATTAAATCCCGTTAATTTAAATGGCGTTGAAGAAACTCAGCTTTTTACTTAAATGGTTAAAATGTTTCTATTCCTCTAGAGAAGCAGCTTCTCCTAAGGGCCCTGTCACACCTTGATGATTTATCCAGCGTCTGCCTGCCGTCCCAGAATCTCCTAAAACGCTGGCATACGCTGAGCTTTCTATGTTTTCTTTCAATTTTGGGTGTATACATAGAGTATTCATGACGAGTCCAGAACTTATGTCCAACAACAGCCCAACTTATAGATAACACACGGCAGCGGAATGCCCATGAAACGTCACAAGCCAGTGTCCTGAGGGGGGCAGCAATGTGCCCGGAGGCGCCCGACCTGCATAAAAAGATGTCTTTGATCGCGGTATCAACCTAGATCAGGGATGTCAAAGTAAAATACACCGAGGGCCAGAAAAACAAGCCTTGGACCGGACTGATTAAATGTTTATTAAAACATATTGAAATTAACATAGCCTATTGAGCCAAGACCTAACGCAATTTTTTTTTAGACAAAATATTAATATCAATATTATTAGTAAACTTTTATTAGATTAGATGAGCTTTATTAATCTCACAGCGGAGAAATTCACTGGTTACATACTGGCATAGTAATTAAAGAAGAAGGTGCAAACAAGGAGGAAAAAGGTGCATTAAGAACAAACAATATATATACAGTATATTAGGGATGCACGATATTGGGATTTTGGCCGATA